TCTCGTCATACAGGCCTTCACCATTCTCCAGCAACGCCTCCAGCTCCTCATCCACCTGTGGGAAAAAAAAAAAAAAAAAAAGCATGTGGTTCTGCTGAACTGTTGCTAAAATATTTCTTTCTTGGAGTGAACACATATATCTCCAAAAGGTACTAGTAACGTATAACTGGAGAAATGCCGCCATGGTGGCGCTGCTAAGACTGACCGTGGTGAGAGCGTTCTTTCGGCTGCGGTCTTTCTTCATCTTCCCTCCAGCCGCTCGAACGCTGACTCTGTTCTCGCCACCGAGGAAGCCTCTGCAGCTGGGGGCCCCACAGAAGCATTTCTGCGCTTCTTTCCTGCACAGCAAGACGAAAAAGCAAAGGTGAAGTCCTCTTAAATATTCTCTCTCTATGATGACGACTTAAAATCTGCCACAAACGCAATTCAGGGATGAAAGACAACTGGAGGAAAATCTCACCCGTATCTCTGAAACTGGTAGTCGAACGTCAGTTCAGTTCCCGCAGCGACGGCCGTGGTTGTGAAGAACCCGACTCTGAGCTGGCCGTTGACCGTCCACTAGAGAAGCGTTTTGGAAATGAATACATTTCAGACGACAGAACTTTTAGATATAAATTGCTTAAAAGGTGGTTTTTGCTTCAGTACCTTTTGGGTCTCACAGTTCGGCTCACAGCTGTGGTTCATGAATCGCGAGCAGTTACCCTTCAATGTCGCATCGATGATCTACAGAGACGCAACGCGGCAACAGGAAGGTTACCGTTTCATTCATTCGTTCATTCAGGTGGTCATTTACAGTCCATCACAGCCTCGCTCACCTCGTTATTCTTTAGTGCCATGAAGTAGTAGTGGATGTTCTTGTTGCGAGCATATTCTTTCACCCTCGATTTGAACCCTTTGTGGTCCAACACCTCGCCACAGTACTCCAGGACAAATGTGTTTCTGAGATTACAAAAAAAAAAAACAACAACCCAGAACCAGTTATAGTTCTGATCTCAAACTACGACCTTAACAACCAACAGCAAAGCGTCTCATTAAATTATGACGCAACAACAAAATTATATAATTTTTGATACTATGCAAAATGAGACAGAGCTAAAAAAAATAATAATAAAAAATCTTGCAGAGAATAATAATATCCAACAAAGACAACAGCTAAAACTCTTACGGAGCCAAGTCTCTAGCGGCACGCAGTCCCCAGCCTTTGTCTTCGGTGAGGATGACCTCGAAGTCCGCGTGCTGCTTCATCTGGAAGCGACGGTTAGAGCAATATGCTCCATTCAAGCACCGTGACGAGCTTTGAAGAAAGAAAACAATAAAAGCGATGTGAAAATTTGCACGTTATATACTTTGGCTTGTTGCTTGTGCGTTAGGCAGCCGCTTTGAATCCAAGACGACGTACAAATGCAAATTTGACTACAATTCGGTGCAAAGGCCTTCAGACGCCAGATTCACTTTTTCTTATCAAGGAAGATAAAAACAACATATTTAATAAAAGAATGATCTGGTTTAGTGTGATTTCCACTAGCTTAGCAGTAGTAGCATCCACAGCGCTATGTAGCTTAACAATTACAATAAAAACAAATAATCTAAACATATTGAGGCAACAAAATTCAATGCACCAAAACTGAAAGATTTCCGGAAATCCTTAAAATCTTTTCCGCAAGATATATAAAACAATATATATGGAACTCATTTTGACTCACTGGACGCAAAACAGGGATTTTAAATGGTTTAAGGATGTTAAATACGAGACCTCCTGTGCTTAAACAGTATTGCAGACTCGCTTCTTTCGAGGTTTACAAAATGTTCACTTCTAAAGCAAAGTTCTTTTAAGCTGCAAAACAGTTTCTTTGTGACCAACCATTCAATCATAAGGAGCCGGTTTAAACAGTCTTCTCCACACGCCATCACTCCTTTTGCGCGGTCCTCTCGCGACAACACTGGACACTCGCATTGCATCCTCTTGATATCTCGATGAGATTTGCTTTTCTTCCTACAAGAGATGTTTAAAAAAGTTCATCAGTCAAACTCTAAAGAATCAAAATTTAAAAAAAAATTGTTACTCTGACAATATAAAAGCTGGTCAACCGTTTACCTCTCAGTTAGGTACTTGTTCTCCTCAATTAAGTCAAAGTAAGGGGGCATCTTTTTAATCTTGGCCAAGTCTTTCCATCTGCCGCTATCTTGAAAGTTGCGCAGAGTGAGTGATGGTCGGTCCACCTCGGCTTTTACTTCCTTAGAAAGTGCAACATCTTCTTGACGCTCCCTTTTTCCAGACGGTCCAGCTTCTGCCTCGTTGTCCGAGTCCGACTCAATCTCCGGACGCCTTTTCTTGGGCGGTCCTCTGCTTCTGTGGGGTCTATGATTGTCCTCTCTGGGTGGCTCCGGTAAAGCAGGGCCCCGGCTGTTGCTGCTAATTTCAGGACCTTGCACTGAGCTCGCTGACCCTGGAGTGTTTAGTGCTTCATTATGACTCGATGACTTTTCCGCTCTGTAGTCATCGTGGTCATTCGTGAGCGAGTCCGGGTGGATTTCACTCGAAGGTTCCTGATAATGTTCGTACGTATGGAGGTAAGGTCTTTTGATGGTTTGCATGTTTGACGACTGGTGCGTACCGGAGTGAATACTTTGCTCTGGCTCCTTGGAATCTGTTGCGGTTCCTTTAGTGTTTAACTGTGGTCCGTGGCTGCTGTCAGGCTGCTGGCATGTGCTGGTAGGCTGCTCTGGTTGAGATAAATCCCAACCCAAGCTGAAACTCATCTTGCTGTTGATATCGTCAGAGAGGGTGTTGGGTTGGTACTGCAAGTGCACCTGCTCGCCTTGACTGCTTATCTCAAGGTGCTTCAAACTTTGCTCGCATTGTCTGGAATGATCAAGCAAAGGGGTTGAATCCGTCTCACTTCGCTGGGCACCGGGATGATCGGCTCCGAAAAGCTGACCGCCGATGGCGTTGGAACCTTCTGAGTGACTGGTGCTATCAATCATGTTGCTCTGGGACTGACAGAGCACGCCGATATGAGGCGACTCAACAAAGCTAGTCGTCGTGGTTTGCGTTTGCTGTGCGTTAACTTGGTTTGTGTTCCCCGTTTGGGTGCTGGGCTGTCCTGAAATACGTAAAGGGGTGCATGAAGAGGCTTGTCCATCCTCCAAACCTTTTGTCAGGGAGGAATGCTTGGGGACTACAACCACAGAGTGAAACTGCTTTATGGCATTGTCGCAATCCGAGTCGTACGCGGAGTTGTCGCTGTCACTGGCGTCACTGGGCGTTGCTAGCATATCCTGGTTGATGGCTGTTCTTTTACTGGATTTATTCCTGTGTGTGCTCTCCTTTAATTTACTCTCACAGGCATCAATACTCTGGATGTCTCCTAACGTGGCTAAGTGAATCTGGGATAACTGATTGTTCGTGTGTGAAGGCTCATCAGTGTACGGTTTATGAGTAGTATGACTGAAATCACAGCGGTCAATGCTGGTGCTTGCTTGCGAAGGCTCACTTTGGTCTTCATGTTTAAAGGTCACTAAAGAGACGTCCTGTTCCATGTTGGAATGTTTAGCATCTCTGGACTGAATGCTACCTTTACTGTCCAGGTCATGTTGAGTACCGTCATTAGAGAATTCAATTCTTTTGACGGATACCACTTTTTCAGGGCTGAGATTGCTTTCTGCACAAACAGCCCTGTTTGAATGATCACTTTCACACGAGTCTTGCCCGACAATATCCCAGCGAGACTTTCTAGTAGTGCAGGTACTCTTTTTGGCGGCATCTTTACTTTGCTGTCCTTCTGAAAGCCGACTTTCAGCTTGTAGACAGGACAAATCAGATTTTTCTGGGTCATATTGATTTTCGGCTGCCAAAACGTCATTTGGTTCAACAATCTCCATATTAGTGTTTTGCTGGATCTCATCTGTGACGTTTGTTTCTGTAGCATCGAGAGAGGGTTTTGGCACTTTGCCGTCTTTTTCAACAATAACACTATCTTCGCTCTCACCTGAATTTAAAACAGCTGGAGTTAAGCTCAACTCCGACTCGCCGGCCTTCACATTGCACACGTTTTCCAGAGTGACGTCGACAAGCTTTAGGTTCTCGATCGAGGTTGTAGCTGAGGCATTTTCAGGTTCTAGTTCAAGTACTGGTTTTACTTGCTCCGTCTTTCCTAAACATTGTTGCAAAGTCTTTTCAGTAGATAAAACCATCTCCGCATCACCCTGACCGCCCTGTGCATCCTCACCTGGTTCTGAATCTGACTTTTCTCTTTCCATCTGAGGACTACATTCTGCTGTGGTTTCACATGAAACCACAGCAGGACTATGAAACATGTCATCTGACTGTCTGTGATGTCTAGGGGATTTTATGGAGGACCTAGAGGGAGTTACATGCTTTGAATCTGGTCTACTGGTTTTCTCTTGAGAGTCTTTACTGTTCTCCAACAAACTTGTATTTACTTCAGAAGACTGAGGTTTGGTTTTGTGTTCTCCCTCGGAATCACCGGAGCTGTTTTTTCTGTTCTTGTCATGCGATTGGGGCTTGCTATGTGTACTGGAAGAAGATGATTTGGTACTGGTGTCAGACCTGTGATGACTGCTGGATTTGCGGGAACTGGGGTCCAAATCAGGAGAGCACCTATGTTGAGAATCAGAGTCTGAGGAACGCTTTGAAGTCCTTTCTGACTTTGATGACTGTGTCCTTTTGTCAGTCTCTGAGGAGTGAGGAGACTCTAAAGATTTTGAAGATTTCTCAGACCTTGAGTAGGAAGATGACTGTGATGCTTTATGCGAGCTCGAATAGTTAGATGACCTGCTGGACCCGGACGTCCTCGTCCTCGTTTTCCTGTGGTCGTCCTCAGAGTCAGAACTGTACCGAGTTCTTTCAGTCCGAGAGCGGGAGCGTCTTTTCTCCCTGCGTGGAGAACTCCTGTGGGACCGCCGATCAGATTCGTGATAGTACGATCTCTCCGAGCGAGAACCTCTGTCACACCTGGACCTCTCGGACCTGGAGTGAGACGAACTTGTCCGAGAGCCTCTTGATCTAGAACGTGATCTAGTCCTGGATCTCCTGCGGTCCTTGTCCAAGCGAGACGAGCGAGAGGAAGGCATCCTAGAATCACGATCAGACTTCGAGTAACTAGAAGACCGTTCTTGAGTCTCTGTGCGCTTGGAGGAATTTTTCTCCTTTTCCCCCGCATGTGAATTAGAGGAAGACCTTTTTGCCTCTTTGACCCGGCTGTCAGAGCTTGTTTTGCTTTTTGAATCTTCTGATTTGCGGCTGGAAGACGCGTGCGTCAAGTCTCCGTCAGATTCAGAGCAAGGAGGAGCACTGTCTGACTGTGACCTGGTTTTCCTTTTATACACATGAGAATCCCGATCAGTACAACTGGAACTATCACCATCTTTCCCGGACAAGGAAGCTGATTTCTTGAGGTTAGAATCTTCTTTCGTCTCAGAGGATTCAGTGGTTACATTTTTAGGGGAGCCGTCGTTAATGACGTTCTCAGGCAGGGGAGCTGGAGCTTCAGTGTCACTCTGAGAGTTGACCTCTGATTCAGAGACGTGCACCTCCTCAGACGTAACAGCCTTCGGACTCTCTTCAGTAACAGAAACGCTAATAATTTGCTTCTTAAAATGCATCTTTCCTAAGTTTTTTTGGAGTCGAGTTGAGGGCGAGGCCGACGTTTGAGGACGTTTCTCCGGTGTAGATGACGGCGCCAAGGCTGTCTGCTTTTGCTCCGTTTTGCTTTCCGCATTCTTTCCCACTTTGTCCAAGATAGACTGAGATGAGGCATTGTGAGGTTCAGTGACAGTCGTATCAGGATTGGCAGATATGAAGAACGAACTCTGCAGCGGTTTTTTAGTCTGCGAGAAGCTGAAGGACACTTTCTGACGACCCTGATCTTCCAGATTGACCCTCATCTTGGTCCCTTTTGGTAAAAGATGATTGGACAGCATGACTCGGGGAGACAAGCTTTTAATCAGAGCTGACGTGGATAGACCCTCCACCTTCACCTACAGGGAAAAGAATGCACAACAAAAAATAAAAATCAATAATCAAGTCGCTGAAATTCTCAAAACTGTAGAGTATTACCAGATTAACTTACAGAAGCAGCACTCCCTTCCTGTCTGTGTTTCATTGAGAACATAAAGAAACAAGAGAAAAAGGCAAAAGTGGTTTTACAGATTCCTTGTTAAACCTTATGAATAAAAATGTTATCCGGTCCACAGTGATAACCCAACTAACGGCGATGTGCATCTGAACAAATCTTAGCATAAACTGCTTTTTTTTGCTAAAAACATTTTAAATTTCAAACATTATACCTCTTCCTTAACTATGAGTATATTACCTTAATAATTAGTTTTGGAGATCAGGTTTCAAAAATATACAGAAAAATCAATTTTTGAACCCGATCTCTACTACATTTCCATTCACAAAGAAAAGGAGAAGTGACAGCCAACCAGCACATATAGAGCAGCTTTTCAGCCCAGTGCAGCCACATAGTTTGGGCTTCATGCTTTAGTTAACTTCAAGTCAACACATTTAATTCCTCTTTCAACGCTGGAGTAAGGACTTCAGACCAGAAGAGAAACTGAAGCACTTTCATAGTGAAAGATTAACAGCAACTTCAGGGTTCCGATACATTTTTAATCACAAAAGTCCACGTTTCCAGACACATTTTTCTAAGTTCATTTAAGTCAATTTTTACAGAATTAAAGTTGTAAAATTATCAGGTTTTAGACATGAAAATTGGATGGATGGACGGCTTTGAAATAAAGTCTGGAAGAGCAAATACTGTTCTCTGCTTTCCCAGGGCTGCATGGCACATAAATTCCAGATTGCGAAGGAACGCTGAAATTTGCTTTGCAAGCTTCCACCGACGTCGACAGCCTTTAATTAAGTGTTAGTGCGTCTTTCTGTGTGCGATCGTTGCCTTCAGAAAGTCAATTTCCACTTGGTCAGATCTGATTAATAAGAAAGCCAACGCAGAACATCTCAGCTCTTTACCTTCGAAAACTCCAAGACTGCTTTTTCAGTTAGGCCATTGTTCATCTGCAGTGAAGCACTGTCTTAAATTTTGCTGAATTTGGATTAATCTGAGCAGACAGTATATAATAATACACTTTAAAATTCATTCACGAAGAACAAAGACCTAATAACGGAACAAAACCAGGAGCTCCCAGGTTAATTGTTGAAATTAATTGTCCAAATCCTTTCCCACCAAATTGGCTGAAAGAATGTAAATCCTGAACTTCTTTTCATTTATATGCTAATAAGCCCCAGTTTGAAGCTTGGGGATGTGACTCGATGTATTTTTAAGGTTTCTATGTAAATAAAAACACCAATCTAACATATTACCACAGCTAACTGTGAAATGCTGAGACCATACCATACCATACCAACTTTATTTATAAAGCACTTTAAAACAACCACAGTTGATACAAAGTGCTGTACAATTTAAAAACAACATAATAAAAAAGTAATTAAAAACAGTTTAAAAACAAAAACATACAATTTAAAACTAAATCCCACTGGTGCTAAAAGCCAAGTAAAATAGATGGGTTTTAAGACGAGCTTTATAAATGGACAGAGAAGGGGCCTCTCTGACCTGCAAAGGTAAGTCATTCCATAATTTGGGGCCCATAACAGAGAAAGCCCTGTCCCCTCTGAGCTTCCTTTTTGTTCTCGGTTCCTCCAAGACCAGCAACTTGTATTCCTAAGCAGCCAGTGTGACTATATGATTTTTGTTCTAGTAAGTGCGTGCTTTTCTTAGACCGGGCTTATGAAAACTGAATAATATTTGGGTCGTTTATTCCCTTGAGTTTTCTTTTTCCTTTCCGTTTCCCCCTCTCTCTGACCATTAAAATGGGATGTTTCTGCAGGGACAATAAAAAGAGTTATAACAAGAAGCCTTCAGTCAAACTAACAGCAGATTAAATCTTATGCAGTTACAACATTGTCTTCGACATAAATTAGTTTTTGCTTCAAGTAAACAAATAGCTAAAACTGTTTTGCTGACGGTTTTCAACTGCCACTGATTGAGGATAGAAGACCCGTAGCATGTGCTTCCTTCAAGAGCCAACAGTAGCCCAAGGGCTTTATTTACGACTTGCAAACTCCTTTGTTGTTCCGTTTACAGGGAGAGAAATGTTTTTGACCAATCAGTGGCTTGCAGTGCTTTCTTCACATCGCCTCAGCTTATTTGAGAGCCAAACCGAAATACAGAGAACCACCTACAATGCAAAATATTGCACATAATAAACTGCCCACAGTATTAGAAAAAAAAAGCCTAGAAATTATAGCAAAATCTTGCACCTTCACAGACTTTAAGGTGAACATTTTACCAGAACAGAGTGCGACAGGGAACGTGCGTAAATTATAGCACAAATATACACCGAAATAACAGTTGCTCCCGTGTAGTACCTGAGCTCTGACTTCAGAAGAGTGTCCATGGAGAAACACGCCTATGGCTAGTAGGCCTGAAGAGGCTGCTGGCTGACAATAATCCAAATCAGAGAACCTCCAAAATGACGCCACATCTGACAAGAAGAAACAGAATTTTGAAATGAAATAAGCTTCACTGGTCATAACAGCCAGAAGTAATTTTCTGCAAAAAGAAAAAAAAAATTAAAATTCTGTTTAAATGACATCAGATTAACTTTTTGTGCAAAGCATAAATGAAATGTCCTTACTTCATGTGTCCCCTCTACTTTTGGTAACCATAAGAAACACAAAATGACATACGTTTGTAAATCTCAGAAAAATACTCAGCAATTCAAGCTGCTCTTCTCACTAATTACCATAAGATTTCTATCTGATGGGTCTGTTGACATTACAAAAGTCAAATAGTTCCAGAGCAAAAATGTATACAAAATAAAAAAAAAATTTTTTTAAAAACCGTTGACGAATTAGGCCAACCTCTAACTGACCTGACCTATCACCCAATACTGCAGCAGCTGGAAACATTCTACAAAATACTCCACACTCATTTTGTTATTCGCCATTCTTGTTTTCTTGTTGCATCATTTACCAATCTCATGTGGAAGGTTTTTTGCACGTCTAATATTTTATCCCTTACAGGTCTAGGAGAGTAAACAACAGAGCTTTGGCCAGTTCTGTGTACAGATATAATTATTTTTGAAAACGGTTCAGTGGGATCCAGGTGTTTTCGAAAATGACAACCAGCTATAGAGGGGGAAAAAAGTTCCCATAGAGGCGGAGCTTAATCTTTTTCAGATCTGCAGATATATCCTGCTAGGTCAGAATCAGTGCATAAGACAAAAAAAAAAAAAACAAACAGGAAGAAACAGACTGTTCCTGCAATGGAACATCCCTTTAAAATGAAATCCTTCTTTGATGATATGTTGGCCATCAATTAATGTTATTCAGAGGTAGTAATGTCTTTGAGCAACAAATCATACTATGCAGTTTTGGAACATAAAAGTCTTGTCTTTATAATATGAATGTTAGATAACTTTTTGACCCACCTGTTAGAAAATAAATCTTACTTGAAAATTTTGCAATGCAAGAATATTTAATTATGTGCAATGAAAATTTTACAGTATGCACTCCACTTTCTGCCATCTCTCTACAAAGGTGGAAGCATGTGTTAAGATTTATCAGCAAGTCTTCCCTTTTTCAGCATGCTGGGCCAATAGTCTCCAGAGCTGTAGGAGTACACAACACGAATCAGATAAGGGGCTGCATTCACGTTTATCTTTAAAAATAGTGACGATACACAAAAACGTTGGTTGATAAACGTGCATTTTATTACCAGAACTCTCGAAAGCAAGCAGGTGGCTTTACACAGTTAAACTCAGTCCTTATAAAATGTATATCAACATTAATATCCTACTCGACAAAAATTGTTTTAAAACAAAACTTGAAATCTAATGGCAGCATGGCCTGGATAGGAAGAGTGGATCCAGCCAAAACATGGCCTTTAAAAGGAGCGACGTTTCCGATGTGATAACAAGCTGCTAAATGACTGGTTGTGTCAGAAGCAAGTTTCTAGCCGTTCTAAATGCTATACTTGGTAGTTATAGTATAGACAGATAATTAAGTTAGCTATTAACTTCTGACTGCATTTAAATAAATTAATCTAAACAAGCTTGGCTAGCTTAAGTAAAATAGCATAGCAACCTCACGGGAGCCATGTTTGAAGAATTTGTTAGCTCATGTTGTGACCCCTTTATTATCTTGCCTCGTGATATCGTGATAATACTTCCATGTAATTAGATTGTGTAGTTGTAAACAAATTGTGTGGGACGTTCACTTACTCAAATCTGCTGAATCAATACACATTCATCAAAAGCTCAACTCGACGACGTCTCCTCGCATCAGAGGCTAACACTAGCAATGCTGGCTAGATCTAGCACTGCAAATAGCATTAGCACTCAGTGTGCTAACAGACCGTTTTGTGTCGTTTTCGTCAATATTTGAAATTAAATTGTCATATTATGAACAAGCAGACGTGTTTTTTTCTCACCCACTGCAAATCATAGCATACACAGTGTAAAGTTGCATTTGGACATTTTAATATAAAGGTATAACCGACCCTTATATGAATGTTCACCCGGCTTAGCTCACATGCTAGCCTCGGATGTTTTGTTGTGTTACCCACAGTTTGGTCAAAATGAACCTAACTAAACTTAACATGGTTCATAAGATACTCACTTCTCGAAGTTTGTACGGTCACAAGGTTCCCCCATTCTCAAAATAATTGGTGATCATCCCCTTGTGAAGCATCAAGCAGCAACGCATGCAGGCGTTAAATCCTTACGGAGTTGTCGGAAATGATCGTCGGATCAGAGGCTCCTACGCTGCTGCTGCTGCGCCCCAGCTTCAGCAGAGCAGAATGTTGGTTCAATCGAGCTAGCATGTGCTCGGATTGCTACACAGTTGTCTAAGTTGAATGAGGAAACACGGATTGTTTTATTTATTTGGTTATTCGTGTTTTCATACAGATTCGTTAGGGTAACCTTAAATCCGTTTCTGTCGCTTTTATTAAGAAAACCGTTCCTCGCAGATGTTAGCAGACTCTGGCTGATGCCTTTAATGTCACATGATTAGAAGCGGGGCGCGAATCCAGGAGAAAAACAGAGACCGAAGAGGGTTACCAAACATTTTTAGTCTTTTCTGAAACCAACCATAGTAACGTCCTTTTGACAGATGGCAAGTTAGTGGGCATCTTCCTCGCTTTTACTCTCTTCATTGCACAGAAAAGCAGCTAAAAAGAGGCAGTTTTTTTTTTAAACCACAAACTAGATGAATAAGATTTGCTATTAGGTCTGCACTATTTACACACTGACGAACTCCAGCGACGAACCGAATGGGTGGAGTTTATTCATCAAATAAAGACAGGTGTCTGAATAAAAATGCATGCTAAATGGACCCGCCATAATAGCGCACAGATAAAAAGCTTGTTTTGATTAAATGATGATACATCATTGATATTCAGTCAGTAAGAGTATAATTTGTCTAAAATAATTTACCCTAATTAAAAATTCTTCTGTTGGTCAGGTGAATAGATAATCAGTCCAGTGGGTCATAGTTAGGACAACCCTGACTGAGAATAAGATAATATCTTAGAATAGGGCCACCAGTCTATATTATTAAAATGAGGTAAGGTGATTTAGGCAACTGGCCAAAAGTTTCCATGGCAGTTTCAAATGATTGCTATGGCTGATTGGTTGGAAAACACACTTGAAATAAAGAGAGAATATAATCTCACAGAGAATCTGGTATGAGGTACTTTTAAGAACAAGGTGAGCGACCACTTTGCTTTAATGGAGGCCCATTGCACAACCTCATTGCTGCCATGCCACAGGGATGCATTAACTAATGCTGAAGGAGTATTAGTGTATATATTTGGCATTACATAGACATAGTTTTCAATGAGAATGGATTTCTCTATTAGAAGCTATTTCTATTGGTTTGATTTAATGTTCAAATTTTTTGACAGACTGAATTTGGAGTTTTTGTTAGCAGGAAATCTCATGTATCAATAAAAAGCAGAAATAAACTTTTGAAATATATCACTGCATTTGTGGAGGATCATTGTAACTTATGAGTTTTACGTTTTCAAGCAAATTACTGAAATAAATTACCTTTGTAACGCAAAACAATTAGATGTGTTTAGAAGTAAAATGAAGCCAATAACGTTCACTAGTCATAAGTCTGCAAGAAATGTGAAGTGTTTTCAAACCAAATTTTAATCCATTTATGAGACATTCCTTAAAACATATGATCTCTTATGCTTAGATTAAATTTGGAAAATAATTATCCAGTATCAGAATCTTCTGATAAAATCTGCCCAGCTGGCCCTCATGACATGGATTAAAGCCATCAAGCAAAACAAGCCTCCAAAATCTAAAGAGCTCTAAAGTTCAGTGTTGGAACATTGTGTACTGCTAAGGTTGCAAAGATGTATTAATGGTAAATTGATCATTCTACAGCCAATTCAAACATTTCCTGTTTTTAAACAATTTGCTCAGACATGTTCGAACAACTCCATAGAAAATCCTGTTTATTTATTTTCATGTTAATTTAAGGTGAGCTGAGCAAAAATTATGAAATGGTGAGTAAAGGTTCTATAAATCAGTGGTTTGTTAGGAGTAAAAAATATGTGATTTTTATTAAATCCTTAAAAGCCAAAAGAAGGGGAAAAATCAGAAAAATTAGCCTTTAAAGAATGATCATAGACAACAAAGTTAATTGTTTTCTACTGTCCAGATTTTTTTTTTTTGTAATTTTGCTTTTATTTAACCAGGTGAATTAATAAAAACTAATTCTCATTTACAATACCGACCTGTCCGAGAGGAAGATCAAGCAGCACAAACATTAATAAACACAAACATTAGCAACACAAATGAAATCATAAAACAAAACAAGACAGAGACAAGGGCATGTGATAAAATTAACTATATATTTTTAGATGGAGCATGTGCATGTTTCAGACAGCATCTTCTTTAAAGTACCTTTAAAAGTTCCTAATTATGTGAATGTGCTCAGCTTTAATAATTTAACTGACCTCCACATAAGGTCGTGACACTTTGCATGCCGGTACAGCAGGTGGCGGTGTGTCATTTTCAATGCTGTTACATTCGCCTGCCTCTTTGTCAACGACAAAAGAGGAAGCTTCCACATTTCTCGGAGCAAGGCGAGCGACTTGAGGCCGACGATCCATCTTAATATATCTACCATATTCCTCTTGACTCTCGGTTTTGTGAGGGCTGTGGTTGTTATTTGTGTAAGTTTAACCGCTGTTTAAGCTGGTTTTGTGGCATGTTTTCGTCATTGGTATGGCGCAGTCATGACAGTCAGAGGAGCTGAAGCTGCAGGCGGTCAGGCCTAGCTGACAAGCGAGCTAACGTTAGCGTACTTTCATATTTTCCTCAACTTTAAGAACCTCTTCGGGCTTTTTAGAGTGTGAAACTGTTCTCGGGTTGTTTTATTGTCGTCTTGTTCTGACATGTGTTGCTACGGCGTGCATTTCCATCTTGTTCTGCGGCCTTTCTTCCGTACAGCTTTGACTTTATGACGGATAGCCAACATATGGAGATGTAACATTATCTGGTTTCGTGTGTTGGTATTGGTTGATGAGTGCGGTGCATTTTTTTTTTCACACTACAGGGTGAAATGTGCCATTCTCAAATTTTCCTGTAATATTGGACCATGAAGTGGCCACATATGTCCATCCGCACGGTGCAAACCGAAAGTGCCCATTGTTAGATAAATGACGCGGTGGCTCGCTAACTGTAGCTTCTGTGTTGATGTGGGTTTTCTAATATCTGGGTTTTGAATCATGAACCTGATTCTTTCTTATTTACAACTTTATTGAACAACCATTTTCAGACGATACACCTACTCTTCTAAATAAAATTGATGTAACTTGCTTTAATTTGATACACGCACAATGTTTCAGTTAGTGGCGAGGATACAAGGAATATTCTGGGAATCCAGCAAAGTTTCTTGTTGGTGAATGGAGAACTTTGATACCACTGGTGACAAATCTAAAGCAAGGGAATGGAGGTGCTTGGAAAATGGATAGATTGTCCTTTTACTGACTTGAAAGAAATCTCTGGTAAATGAAATTGGAAACGGAGGGAGCGGAATGTACACCATGGAAATAATACCAGAAATGACACCTGCAAAACTTTAACCACCTGCTTATAAACCAGCAATTATCTGATTAAAGAAGAATTGGATGGCTGAGTTATTTAGCCTCTGGCATGGGATATTACTTGATAAGCTATGCAATAATGTAACTTACTGGAAATCCACTAAGTTGTATAAACATGCACCAATTATTTGACAACTGCTAGAATTGCCATGTCTCAGATGGATGCGAATTTTTATTTTTAGTAACTGCAACTTTGTTTAAAATTACTCAGTTGAATTTTTGTTTTCCATTGTCCTAATTTTTTTTCCACCAATATGTGATCTTGTGTCACCAGGTTTATATTTTTTGTGGCACAGTTTCAATTGATCTCTATCAAGCTATCCATAAATTATAGAGGTTTAATGATCATGAAATTTGTCATTTAGCTAAATGACAACTTTGTGTGCTCCATGTAAATGTGAATCAAACAGACATTTCAGATGGTTAATCTCACCACAATACGTTATTGATCCAGTAATTTAATGAGTTATCAATTTAATTTTGAGCTGAACTTAACTTTCAATTAATGATTTACTTGGTTCTCACAAGGGGAATTAGTAAAGATCCACTTGCAACCTGGTGTAGTTTAATCAGTCAATAAATGCCTTATAATTCTGCGTTGTCTAAAATTTGTTAAAGGACTTGTGCTTAATTTTCTCTCTAATTGTAAATTTTGTCCATGATTAGATCTGAGGCAGTATTAAAAATGATTTAATGAGTGATGAGGTTATCAGCTTTTTAATATAGCATGCATAATATTTTCTGGATGCTATGTGCATTTTGTGTGAAAGAACCAGGATGCCTTAGACACCCTGTTTTTATGCCCATTTAGATCCTGCACATAAAAGCCTGACATAATGACCTTCCTAATCACTGTAATAGCACGTGTTCTCTCTGAATGGACCTTTTTTGTTGTGTCAAACCTGCTGAGACAAAGAGAGCCTGGCCTGTTGAACTTGCATTGTACTACTCCTCTCTGGCGATTTGTGAGATGAGTGCTCACATGGAACCTATAAAGTAAATGTCTCTGCAGTCTGTGAGATAAAGTAGGTAAAGCTAAAAATACATTTTCAGAGTCATTGCGATTGTAGTCATTCTAAGACATGAAGCAACAAAGTTCTGTCATTTCTATAGATTTGTTTTAGAAAGTAAGGATTTAGTCAACTTTTAGGACTTTATATATTTATAAGAGGTAATTCTGTCATGATGCAGTTTAAAATGTGGAAGAAAAAAGTATTGTGTTAAATGTCGCTTTACCAAAAACAATTGGTTTGGGGAAAAAAGGCCTGGTCGACCAAATTGGTGCATGTTTAGTGTTTTGCTTTGGAGTTTTGGGCATGTTTTTGTTAACCTGAATGAAGAAAGGCTAGTTTTCAGGTTGACCAGTGTTACAAAAGCCTTTTTTATGAGCTACAATGGGATTGTGAGAGACTGGCATAGCGCATTTGTTTGGTTTGGTGGAGATGGAGTCTTTGAGTGCCTAAAGGACTAGATGAAGCATTTCCTCTGGAGCTCTTATGGATAACGAACTAGTCTAATAACTGATGATTTAAAAATAAAATACCATGTATTTGAAACCCATGCAGAATTTTGGGACTGGACCTATAATGGAACAAATAGTCTCATTGTGGAAGTCCCCTCTGTTGAGCCAATTTTTTTTGGTCATGTAAGGAAAAGTACTCTGTGACATATGTCAAATATTTCATGTGGATCACTTCAACCCTTCACTTTTCAGCCGTGTTTGTTTTTCAGGTGGCTTTTGTGGGCATAAGGAAAAATGTTTTTTCAACTCGTGCATTTCTTTCCATATTTATTTAGCCTTTGTGATCAACTGAATGTGGGAATATTTTTACAGAACTGGTGAGGCTCTGAAGGCAGTAATGATATTCTGTACCCCTTTGTCTACAGGTGCCGTTGTTTGTGCTTCATCATGGCGGTCGTCATCCGTTTACAGGGACTGAGTGTCACGGCAGGTTCTGCGGATATTCGCAGGTTCTTCACGGGCCTTCATATTCCAGATGGAGGTGTGCATATAATTGGTGGAGAACTAGATGAAGCTTTCATTATCTTTGCTTCAGATGAAGATGCCAGAAGAGCCATGGCACGGTCAGGGGGATTCATAAATGGGTCACCTGTAAGATTGCTACTGAGCAGCAAGCAAGAGATGCAGAATGTACTTGAAAGAACAACGCAAAAGGTGGAGCTGGATGAGATTAGGCAGTCTGAGGGCAATGGAAGAACCGCTCAAAGATCCATGGAGCGTGAGGTGGGCAGAAGATCAAGTAGCCGATCTGGTTATAGCTCTCCTCCCCATCACCAACGACCGGCAGACACCGATGACCCCTATGTTGTGTTTCTCAATGGTTTGCCTTTCTCTGTGACTGAAAGAGAAATACGTGAATTTTTTCATGGTTTACTCATTGATGAAATTGTTGTGTGTAAGAAAGATACAGGGCAAAACAATGGAAAAGGCTTTGCCAGATTTGCAACAAAGGAGGATGCATTGGAAGCCTTAAAGAGAGATGGGAAATATATTGGGTCAAGGTATATCGATGTTCGCACAACAACAGCCGACTATTGGATACGAGCTGGTGGTAGCATGCCAGCAGCTGTCAAGACGATTGAGAACTTTGAAAGGGGAAGAGCACCTGTTCGCAGTCAGCGAAACCCCCAGTATGAAGCAAGGTCTCGATCACCTCTGCCCCAGAGACCTGTTGCTCCTACAGATGAAGAATACTGTGTGCTGTTGGACAATCTGTCTTTTGCAGTGGAAAAAGGTGACTTGAAGTACCTTTTTCAGAACTCGAAGCTTGAGAATGACCAGATTCTGTTTCTAACTGATGATTATGGCAGAAGAACCAGGTCGGCCTTTGTACTCTTTAAGAACATAGGTGACTATTGTGATGCTATAAGTCAGGAGAAAAGACATTTCCTCAACAGATGGATTCATATACGACCTGTCTCAAGAGAGAACATGCTCAGGCTTCTGGAATCTCAGAATGACCCTACTGCGCCTCCAGGAAACTCTGAAAGGCATCAGGAAAGACCCTCGTCTTTCTCAACAGATCCTTACGACTCTGAGAAAATCTGTGCGTTTGTGAGGAATCTCCCATTTGATGTGAGAAAGGTTGAGATAATTGACTTTTTTCATGGGTTTAATGTCACTGAGGACAGGGTACGGATCCTGCATGATCATAAAGGTAATGGGGTCGGACAGGCTCTGGTTCTCTTTGGGTCTGAGGCAGAGGCCATGGAGGCGCTTTCTCTCAATGGACGGCGGTTTCTGGGGTCTGAAGTTGGAGTGAAGTGTGTTACACGTGCTCAGATGGATCAGTTGACTGCTGAGCCACCATCAATGCAAGATGTCTTGCCAAAAGAGGGGCACTTCTCAGGCAGGAACAATGAGCCTTTCTATGGCACTAGTGGTGACACTTCCTTTTTTGATACAAGGAAACCCAGGGATGGTAATTTGCCTATTAAAGAGGAACGCATCCATGGAGGTCAGGACTATGGATATCGTGGGGTAAGACCTCGTTCTCCGCGGGATAGGGGCAGTGGAGGACATGGGAGGTTTGGTCCACCTGATCAACGCTATGATGGTCCCACCTGTGTGCAGTTGATTAACTTACCATTCCAAATTAGAAGTGAGGAAGTCTATGATTTCTGTTATGGATATCGCATCATACCTGGATCTGTCTCACTTCAGTATGAGCCCAGCGGAAAACCGAAAGGCTCTGCCACTTTGGTGTTTGAGTCTCGTCAGGAAGCTTTAACTGCAATTGAGGAACTGAACGGGAGGCCGATTGGTCCAAGAAAAATACAGCTTTTGCTTGTTTGAAATACATTTGTGGGTTCACATTTAAGACAAAGTAACAGGCAAAACTTTTAGTTTATTTGGAAAGCTGGCAATGTAGCATATAGCTCTTGTATTATTTTTTTTTTCTTAAGTGCATTTTTATGTTTACAAGGAAGTATTTGTTTAGTTTATTTTGGGTTTTCTATTAAACGGTTGGTGTTTTTTGTTTTCAAAAAGTACTTTAGTAAGTTTTGGAACACAATTTATAACCTGTACATGTCATACATTGTTTTTAAAATTAAAAACGATTGATTCAGTTTTGTCATTTTCTTCCAAATCTGTTTCCTTGAAGTTAAAAATCTAAATAAATGTTACTAAGAGGGTAGCTCAATGACAAATTTAAGATTGCTTTTGTCTAGTGTGCTAGTAGACCAATTAGATCAGGTTAGGATATCTATTTTGGTGTTAGTTGAATGAGGGCATTGTCTTCTGCGGTCTCCATTACATCACTTTAATGTATCCTTTTGGATAAGGATACATTAAAGTTCTAAGAGATGAGTTCTAAGAGACACGTATTTCTGGCCAAGTTGGTCTAAAACTGCCAGCATTTTCTCAAGGTAAAACAAAGCATGGATAAATAGAAAAACTATTATGGTTGCAATTGCATGGCTGAAAAAGTGTAATATGAAAATATCATTAATGATACAAAGAGTTGGACATACATTTTTTTTAAGAAAAGAATTCAATAAACAATGTTTTCCAAAATCTGAATTTTCTTTCATTCTTTTAAGCAGCCTGTAGGGGCCCAAATTTTTAAAATATCTTAAATGGGTCTAAGGATTTCTTGGAGCGGCTGCTTGGTTTTTCTCCTTTAAAAATATGCTCTTAATCTTAAACTGGGAAATGTTATGTTCTGAAGGCAAATGTTTACTTTCAATGAACACATACAGACACGTTTGTTGTAATGCTTGCTCTTTTGAGTTTAATTCAGTACATTTAAGTATACTTGGGATTATCACCAAAACATACACTGTATGTGCTAATTATTTAGTGACACTAAAAACCTCAGAAAAACAATTTTATTTTTCCTACTTTCACGACTTGAACTAAAATACCAGTTACTATTTTTTAACTCGGAACCCAGGTCAACGCGTTCTGTCATCTTTTTGCTTCTCGGCTGTATGAAATTTCGATTTTAAAAGACACCTCGAACGCACCGGACGTTAAGCTTTTATTGCGAAAGTCAGAAACCGGAAGTGCAATTTGTCCCTGAGTAGCATGGAGGCATGACGCCGGTGAGCTGAGTAGGCACTTTAAGCAGAAGAGGGAAAAAGAGGAAAGCCACGCCAGGAAAAGTCCACAACGTTAAAGGTAAATGTTTGAAATTAGTTATCTTGTTTATAATACAAAATAACCAGTTCTTATTTTAGGTCTTCCAGTGCAGTTCGGTTTCTCAATTTTTAAAACAATTCCACGAAACTAATCCGAAATCCTGAAATTATTTAACAATAACTGAGTTACAAACTTTTCAGGATATGAAACAATTTGTTTTTCTCCATTTGAAACAATCCCGAGTTTGACCGTTAAATTCGCACCGATACCTAAACGTTGAAGTCAACTGCTAGCAGGGACGTTTTGCCGTTATTTTGCCGTCGCTGATTCAGTTTTTTTAAGCGTGTTTCTGCAATGCAAAAACTGTGATAATAGTTGTTTTTAGAAATTATTTTACTTCGATATCCACTGTTTTGCCCTTATCTCCGACACATGGTTTTATCGTTTGGCCCTATATGCAGAAATTTGCAGTAACTTTATGTTGCATTCAAGTACACGTTGCAAACTGCATAATATATACTAAAATAGCTGGAAAAATGCACATTACTCATGATGACCCTCACAATAGCCTTCTTCAGCAGAGGATTCATGTGACAAATTACAACAGACTATAGATATTTTAAAACACATCTATGTTCTCTCCTTGCCAATGTTAAAATGTTTTAAAATGACAAAATTGTTACAACAATTTTAATTCACAAATCTTATGTGTGTTTTGACAGTTTTCAAGTGCTTATGCAACAAAAAAAATCTAAAATAATACTAGATATTTGGATTGTTTCGATTATTTTATTATAGCCATTAGAATGCACCACGCAGTGAAAAAAAATAAAAGACCAATGTCTTTTGTTTTTGCCTTTGTGATATTTGCATATTTCAGATCAGCAGATAATTAGAAAAATAAGTTAATAGGGGGCAAATTGCTATTCAAACCTGTGTGGAAAAACCAACTGACCCCCTGTAAAATCATGAATTGGCTGTTATTAACCTCATTTTTTTGTGAGGCCAAAGTAAAATTCAGTAGTCACTACCTATTCATGTAAAATGAAGAAAACTGAAAAACCAGCACATCATGCTGTGATTTAAAGTTATTCAAGAAAAAAAAAGAAACCAGTAAACACAAATGTCCATCTCACAGCTGCCACAAAAAACATTTTTTATGACCCCTAAAATGTTTAAGAAACGTTTGTAGCCAACTTGGCTTGGATAGCTTTTCTCTTATTTGAATGGTCTTCAAAGGTAGCATACATTTGTTAACCTATTTTTGCACTTCTCAGTGCAGTAATTGTAAACAAGTTGTTTTTAACGTAGAAAGTTTTAAACATCTGAAACTTACTGACACCAGAATGGAGGTATCAAGTCGAAGAGTCCTACTGAGGCACCTGGAGCCAGCGAGGCCCCTGCGCCGCTGCGTCCATGTTAATGTTGGTGAGTTTCAAGGTGTCAACCTGAAAATCAGAGTGTTTGCCTTAATTTACCAGGTTGTCACTTTATTTATAGAGCCACAAATAAATGCTGCAGCAGGTGAACAGCCCTTGATGGAGCAGGAGGTGAGACAGACATTGTGTAATGTTGCAACATATGTCAGGATTGATATAAAACTAGAATGTGTTAAAATGCATATAAAAGTTGATCCTTTTTTTATTTTTTTTTTGTGCTATTTTTGTCACTTACCTATGGTCTACTTGACGTTTCAAAGGTATTCCTAATAGAGACCCTGTTTTGTCATTAAAATTAAAAATTCTCTTGACTCCTTAACCTTTGCACTCGACAGAGTACTGTTGGCATAGAGCAGTTCTTGAAGATTTTCAACCTTCATAAACAGAAAAAAGGTAAGAAACAAAACGCTAATGCATCTCAGCTCTCACACTGTGCTCCCTCCTCCTGTGACATTGAATTTGGTTCAAAGAGAAGATGTCTGAATATTAGATTTTGTTTTCATTTGTCTTAGTAGAAAGAATATGTTATACGAGAGACTTTTTAATTGGTTTGGCCAGCTGCCCTGAAGCCAAGAAGAGGCCAGAATACCTACCGGACCACCCCATTGTGTTGCCCGAGGCAGTAAGTCGACGAGCTCGAGTTTAAAGCTTGATGCCTGTCGTCGTTAATTGCAGGTTTTAGATCTTTAATACATTATTTTGACAGAGGGATCCAGGCCAGCAAGAGCTGGGAGTAACACAGTGGAATGGTGTAAAAGAAGATGTATGAGTAAGTAAGAGTTGGAGGATTTAGAATATGGCTAATGTTTAGATTAATTTTGACGGAAAACTTTCACTTAATGTAAATTGGTCTGACCAAAGCAGCCAAGACGGTTGTGGAGACATGCAAAGAAAAGCTAGGTTGTAAATCAATATTGCAAGTTTCACACATCTAACAAAGCAATGTTAAATCCATTCATTATCTGTACTTCTAAAGAGGGTGGCACAACTCTAACCCTACGAGGACATGACTGTTCTTCTAATAACCAGTTTGGCAAGGAGAGCACTAGTCAGAGAACAAACAAAAAACAAAACAAAATCTCCCTCCAATCCGGTCATTTTCTCAATTATGTGCTGCGTTGTGCAGCTATGTCACATCAAATGCGATTCAGGCTACCAATGCATTGATATGTCATTGTTATAAAATCAGCATGGGTAACACCAGTATTGGAATGTTTGTTGGCTGTTATTCATTGAATTTATTGCAATGCCTGTCATTTTCCAAATCGCATCGTCTTCTAAAAATAGTGCAATATTTCTGGGCACAGTCTGGAATATTGTCAACATGCTGTGTGCCTGATTATGACTTGAGGCATTTCTGTTTTGAATCCAGTGTAGAAATGTTAGAAGATTCTCATCCAGAAAAGCACATAGTTTCTCATTCAGATAAGAAGCTAAAGCCCTAATCAAACTTGAATTATGTGGTCAGTCAGTGTTTCTCAATTACATTAACATGTACCTTATCAGCATTATATATGCCTTTGGAATAGAGTAGAGATGTAGTTCTTATCAACTCCAGAAGGGGCGCTATTTGCGTTCATCTGGAAGGGCAGCAAGATCATTGCTCCATTAGTTTTATATGATAAGCTACACCACACTCGAATCTCTGAGTCCTGCTAGAATGTTTTTTTTGTTTGTTTTTTTTTCCATGACACTATTGTAGTGTCATGAAAGCTCACATTGAAGTAGCAGCATTTTAAATGGCAGTGGATAATTTGGACAATCTAAAAGACAAGGGGTTAAATAAATGTGCTTTCTGCATTAGGCTTAGATTCTGATCATCTGGGTTTGCAGATAATTATTGTAACACTGTTTTAGAGTTTGGCCAGCACTTTTTTTTTTACATTATCATCTTGCTGTGCAATGATTTAAAAAAAAACTTTTCACATTTCTCTTTTGTTAGGATGGCAGCAAGGCCTCCCACATCTTGAGAAACTTGCACAAGTGATGTTTACAGCAAATAGGTTTTGCACCGTGTTGATTGCTTCTCTGCTTTAATTTATTTTAACCTATAACATTACTGTTGGCATGTTACTTTCACGTTTTTTTTTTGTTTGTTTTTTTTTACGCCATTTTGCTGTGTGAAATGTTTGTTTTATCTTGTCTGTTTCAAAAAAAGGCTCGAAACAGCAAGGCAAATTTGCCAATATTTCTTTCTGACCTGATGTAAAGTGTAGCTTTTGAACTTCATGTAATTCAGCAGAAAATATTGGATTAAGTAATTCGTTGATATTGTCTATATGTACGACACATGCAAAAATACTGTTGTTTCCATTAAAGAACACAAAAAAATCCCCTAAAACGTGCAGCATCAATTATTTGTGTTGTCTTTGTTGTATACACTTGTATCACTTTTTAAGTTGTCTGTGCACGTCAATGATTGTGCATGCATGAAAGCTTTTCCCTTTTGCCTTTGAAATTATAATAGACTGTTCTCTGAAGTCTTTGTCTATAACATCACCTCTGAAGCAAAACAACCCTAAGATAAGTGGAATAACTGATCCTTCAAGGATGGCTGTTAGTGAATATGAGGAGTATTTTGTTTATGGACATTATTACAAAGTCTCATCGGAATATATTGGAATCCCTTTGATTGTGGGATGTTTATTCAGCCATTTCCTCTTGAAGGAAATGGCTGAACTGGAAAAAAATCTAAAGCTGAACCATCTGGTTTAGCTAAATAACTCCTATGTTTGTATTTCCAGCATATTTGACCACCTTTTATTATTCAGTGTCATCATTTCTCATAGAAATAATTTCTCCATAACAGAAAAGACGTTTTTCAGTGTTTTATTCAGTTTTATTTCTCAAAAACAGAATTAACTTGCACCACGAATTACTCATTAGAAGTCTTACAGTCTTGTTTGGGGCTTTTCCACTTTGCACATTTCTGTAATACAGGGTTATTGCGCATTTGTAGTTTGTCACTTCTGTACGTGACACAGAGCCAGTACTTCCCAGCCAATGAGGACTAATGTTTAAGGTGACGCATCTCGTACGTCATCACCGGTATTTCGTGTCAGCTGCGGCGGCGTCAGATGTTGAGGCAGAAATTAATTTCTACATATCGGAGGAAACAGCTGTGAAGATAAGCCGTTCAAGGTGCAATACCTATTTGCTGATTATTTGGTACTTGTCGTCGTCCAACCGTTCAGTTAGTTCATCCTGAAGGTAAATATGAAGTTTATTCATTCTTTTCACCCTCCGCGATGAAATGCTGTGTGTGCGGGATGTTTAATCTTTACTACAAGGACGGTTAGTGTTATTAAAAAATACAACCAATATATGACTTCCGCCGACCCCGGCGATTTTTTAAAATTTAAAACAAGCAGCTGGTTCGAACTTATAACACGTTGCTGACAGGTGTTAAAATAAGGTGTCTTCTGTTTTTTTTCTCTCTCTCTCTCTATGTCTACCGGTAGCTGAGCATTACTGTTTGAACTCAGCTTTTTTCCCCATGGATATGGACCAGAAGGAAAAGCAAAAGGAGCAGTCCAGCAGGTGAGGATTTACCCTTAATATTTGCTGACAGTTATTATTTTTTTTGGTTTTGGCTTAAGCAGAAGCTCACTGTAACAAATCATAATGTAAGTTAGGAAACTGTTGGGTGTGACAGGATATAAGGACTATGACCTTTCCCAACAGAGTAAGGACGGATTTTTTTTTTAAGTGAATGCTACAGTAATAAACAGTAGCTTATCTACACTGTAAGCACATTCACACAGATTAACTCCTCTGTGTATTTTGATTCTAATGAAGCTTTTCTAACAACAAAGTTGGACTATTTTACAGTGTCAATGTCATGGTCCTTTGCTTAGGATTTACAATTTACTATTGTGTAACATTATTTCTGAAGCTGTGGTACATTCATTTCCTTTTGTTCTATAAGTATGACTGCCATTGTGTCTAGCAGCAAAGTGTTAGCTTTAAGTCTTTATACACATATTTAATTCAGAGTTAAACCCACTGAGCTTTTAAGAATAGATTTAATTTATGAATATGTAACAGTGATATTGGTTTAGCCTGGTTTGAATAACCTGCATGTTTAATATCTGCCCTCTGTGCCTCTCTTAGCCCCATTTATGTACACAATCCACATCTGGATGCTCTGAAAGATGACATCCTCTATCACTTCAGTCTAGGAACTGGAAGTCATAACCTACCAGCCATGTTTGGTGATGTCAAAGTAAGGAATTTTAATACCTTTTTTATAGTCGTAGTGATTTAAACTTTTCCTCTACACTGTATAAAGTTGGTTTCACTGACATGATCAGTGTTGCAATTATTCACTGTGATCCTTGACGTGTAACTCAATGTTTTGTTTTTGGTAAATGAGCTTATTTTTAAATCATAGTACCATGTCATGTCCCAACATTATCTGATGGTAACGTTTGATTTTTGTCAAAAATCTTCTGTGTGTAAATGCATCTTTTAGTTTGTGTGTGTCGGAGGGAGTCCATGGAGGATGAAGTCATTCACCGAGTTCATTGCAGCTGAGCTCGCAATGGAAGACCCCAAATCTGAGTATCCCAACATCTGCGCTGGGACGGATCGTTACGCCATGTACAAAGTCGGCCCTGTTCTCTCTGTCAGTGTATGTACGAACACGGCTCGGCTCGACTTGTTGCCTTTAAGGTTTCCATCATCTGTCTAGTTTATATTTAACTAACTTTTGTGTGACATGTTTGTGCTTGTCCTTCACAGCATGGCATGGGCATTCCATCTATTGCGATAATGTTACACGAACTCATAAAGCTTCTTCATCATGCCCGTTGCACCGATGTTACAATCATACGCATAGGGACATCAGGAGGAATAGGTACATTAGTGTTTTTTTTGTGTGAAATCTTTTTCTTTTGATAAGTGATGCAACTGGGTAGAATGTGGAGCTGGTGGGAGTGGCTTGTTTAAAATAAGACGGTGATAAGAAAAACAGGAAATGGAAAAAAAATAGAAGAGAAAAACTATTTTCATTTTTAAACTTCAGTCTCACCGTTTCGGCCTTTTTCATGTTCTGATTGTTTTCAGAGCTGACAATAAAAAAAACGTTTTGCAATAATTACCTACAATGTTGAATAGAAGATAATTAGGTATGGACACATTTGCTGACAAATTGCTTAAGGGTTTGATAAGTATTTAAAAAGGGAGATCTTTGTTTTCAGGAAGATCAACACGTTTGATAAAGGAGGTCAGGATGAGTTCAACTTTAGTGCAGAGTCGGGCTGCTCAATCCACTGCTTGTAATTTTGTAGTTAGGGGATTATGGACTTTTAATTATTTAAAAATTAAACAAGGTATTACTAATTTTTTGCGTTTCTGTTCTTAATTATTTTCATGACACAGCCGGCATGGAAACCTAAAGATTTAAAAATAGCACTTTTCTCTAGATATTTAGAAAAAAACACTAAATGGGATTGTCAAATCAGGGTTTTGTGTAGTGTAGACCGGAATCCCGGAATCAAAACCATAAAATCACTCAAAATATATTTCATATTTTAGATCATTGGATGTTAAAGGTCAGCAGTGTATTTTTTTTTTTTTGACAGATTATGCAACAGTTTATTTTTCTCACTTGCAAATTTGTTTTGTTTTTCAGGACTTGAGCCTGGCACGGTTGTTGTTACCAAACAGTCAGTGGATGCCACTTTCCAGCCTAAGTTTGAGCAGGTGATCCTGGGAAAGACGGTGGTGCGCAGCACTGATCTGGACCAAAGCCTGGCCCAGGAGCTGTTGCAGTGCAGCAAAGGGCTTAACCAGTTTGAGACGGTCATCGGTAACACCATGTGCACGCTGGATTTTTATGAAGGTGTGTACTCTAACGTGCTGATGGTTTAACATATTCTTTCCCTTGCAGTACACTTACAGTGTTTCCATTTCTTTTCTTTCCCTTGTCTCTGTCACATAAAATCCAAAGGTCAAGCCCGCCTGGATGGCGCCTTCTGCTCCTACACAGAGGCAGACAAACAGGAATACCTCCTAAAAGCCAAAGAGGCGGAAGTCTGCAACATCGAGATGGAATCATCCGTTTTTGCTGCTATGTGCAAACTTAGTGGTCTGCGAGGTAAAGGAAAAAAAAAAAAAGCATGACAACACTATCATAACATAACTGCCAAAAGTGTCACCGACTCAAAGGAACATTTTATGTGATCCTCTGTTAACTGTCTTGCATGTTTCTCGTATTTGTTTTGTGCAGCGGCTGTTGTCTGCGTCACACTGTTGGATCGGCTGAAAGGAGATCAGCTCAGCAGCTCTCATGAAGTTCTTAACAATTATCAGCTTCGTCCTCAAATACTGGTTGGCTCCTACATTAAGCAGCAGCTAAAGGCCAAGGCGGAGAACAGATGAATGTTAAGAGTGAACATTTTGTCTGAGTATCATATAGGTTATAAATGACCAAGCACTGAAAATTATCTACAACAGTAGATTTAAGCTGCTGTTGTAGTTGATATGTCTTCACATAAATCCGTTTTTGAAGGGGCAATGTTATGTACTTTCCGCTATGTGCCATTTTATATCAATGCAACCTTTAGTCGTAAATGATGTATATGTCAAGCAAGGCTTAAAAGAAATTTGACTCCCCAAATTAACACCTTGAAATTGTCTCTTTTAAGAGAAGTTTCTACTCTCTCCGGCATTCTGCCTTCAGCAAGTCATGACAACAACTTTTCCCCATTAAGCCTTTAACAATGTTTTTTACCAGAAGTAGTTTTTTTTCCAGAGACCCGTCATTTAGGCAACCCCACATGGCTGCCATTCAAGGATTTATCAAACATGTGTGAAAGAATCAAAGCAACACTCATGGTTTACTTTGGATGTCATTTGAAATAAAGCTCAAAGTCAATTTATACAGAATACATCCCCTTTTACATTATGCCTTGTATTCATACATTGTTGGTGGTTTGGTATTAAGGGGACACACATGCACTGTTTTACTATTTAGCCTTTGTCTTAGTTTTGAATTTGATTTAACTGAATATTGAATGGATTTAGATGCTAAAGTTTTTAATGATCTTTGATTTAAGGCACTTTTATGTATTTAAGTTCTGGATCCTTAAAACTTGAACTCCACCTGTGCTTTAACATAATATATAATATCTTTTAATGGTTTTACCTAAATACTTAAGTGTCAAAGTAATGATACAGATATCAGATATTTTGTCCCATGTTGTTTAATTTAAATTAACCAAAATGCTTGTATCTTGTCTGGACTGTTTATTGTTCATAATCTCTGGCTGTGTTATTGTCTATATATAACTCAACATTACACAGATGTAACTTTTCATGACTTGAAATAACTACTTGTGCTAAAAAAGCTGCATGTAGTATATAGATTTATGTATATATATATATATATATATATATATATATATATATATATATATATATATATAGTGTGTGTGTGTGTGTGTGTGTGTGTGTATAAATTAAAACAGTTGTCCTTGCAGTGTGGCATTACTTGTGTGTTCTTTATATGTGTCACAATATGTTTGTTGCTACATCAGTTAAAAGTATTGGCAGGTAATGAAAGATCAGTGCTCCAGAGCATGATTTTATCAGATCATTGGCATTTTTCCTTTATACCACTCAAAATACATCTTATCTTTGAAGATCACCTACTATGTAAATTATTCCCATGGCTTCCCTTTTTTTTTTTAGCTGTGTTATAATAATTATGCATATATCAAGCTTGACTTAAAACAAAAGTGTATTTAAAGTGCTGTGGAAAAATAATCTTCATTTTTTATTTCTTTTTCTCATGTTATAAAACTCAAATTTCATTGCATCTTGATTTTTTTGTGATAAATCAGTATTAAGAGAGCTGATCAATCCATCATCTGAAAATGAAGATACTTTCACATCTGCAAACTTGGCAAGACATGTTTAAGCTACGCTTGTAGGTCAAACAAGGAGAACATTCATCAAAGAAGCAACCAATGAGGTAACCCATGGCACCCATTGTTACTTTGGAAGAGGGACACAGATTCACAGGTCAGGTGGGACAACATGGTGGTAGAATCATGCAAGTCTTTGTAAACATTTCCTATTTGGGTCAGGTTTTGAATCACCTCTTTCCTGATTCACTGACTCAAGCTCGTTAGGCTGAAGGCTGCAGCTCATGGTGGATGCTGGTACCCGCCGTGCGCGTCATAGGCAAGAGGAGGGTCTGAATGCGCGTTCCTGTGCGCGTTCCTCTTGCTCTCCGCTTCCCAGTCCAAGCCCGGTCTATTCGCTGACTCAGTGCCTTAAGCAGCATCACGGTTCATCGGAACAGAGCTTCAGCATCCTCTGCGGAGAAATACATCAGTCATGGCTAAAACTGTAACCGGTAAGTGTGTTCAGACTGGTCCTTTCTGAAAAGACGGGAGGATGGATGGATGGATGGATGATGGATGGATGATGGATGGATAGACTCATGACAGGTGCATCCTTTCCGTTACCAGAAAGGCGCAGCATACCGTCTGGCGTTATATTGTAAAGGATAAAAAAAAAAAAAAAAAAAAAAAAATTTTTAAGCACGGATCTCTTCTACTGAACTCGAGTGTGTTGCCTCAGTTGAAATCTGCAAATGCAAGAATGGGCTTACAAGGCCAGAATCCTTCATTGTCTGAAACGTTTGTTGGATTGTTGCATTGATAATATTTTCATTTCACATAATGCAGCACATAATGGAAATAATCTGATCGGAATTGTTAAAACAGCTTTATTCGCAGTGCTGCACCTGCGCCGCTTCATGCCACAGCGGCCCCCCAACATGCAGCATAATGCAGACGGACCCCACCCAAGATGCTAAGCGGCCGATCATTGAGCCGACAGCAAAACAGTCATATTTATCCCGCACTGGCTTCTTTCTACATGACTTTTATTATGACCAAGCTTGCATAGAGATGTAATTCTTCAAGTTTATGTAGTTATATATATATATTTTAAATAACGTGATGAGAACTGAGCCTTTTCATTCTTTAGCTTGTCTTATTTCCTCAAAGTCCAGGATGGATCTCCGGCTGGTGGCATGTATGGAATGTGAGAAAGGAACTATTTATATATTCATCAATGATGATAATAGTTGGGGATTTAAACTAAAACACTACAGCTTTTGTTATTGGGTGTATATTCCCACATTAGTTTGCCACAGAGACAAATCGCTCAGCAGTTTTTGTTTTAATTAGAGTGTTTTACAAAGCAATATCCTGATCTAATCATTCCATTTCGATGGTTTTGTGTGTGTTTGTATGCCTTGTTATGGAGAGCATCCTAAAGCAGATAAGTGTATTGTAAGGTGGGAGGCAGGCCTGCCCTGCAGCAAAAGAGCAGCTTCACGCGCCGGCCTTTGGAACAGAAGGCTCAGCAGCCCTGTTGTCCTCTCTGAGGACCTAGGTGGGCACTTTCACAAAGATGTAAAGAATTAAAACAAATGGAGTGCAGATCATTAATCAGCCGGTTCTTGCTGTCTCGATAACAAAATAAGCTTGCGGGAGACTTTGGAACAAAGATTTAACAAGGAAACTGGATGAACTTACATGCAGGCCCAGTTTGCTAGATTCAAATGGGATTTTGTGTTTATGGCTGGCTTCTTTTAAGAAATGTATGGTGACCACATCAGACTGGATACATCAATTATTCTTCAATTATTAATGGAGGAACACAATGCTTCCATACCTTTAAGACTTGAAATGCGTTATTGATTCTGTAATAGTGAAATGATAAAATACCTCGCAAAATTATTCATACCCTTTGAACTTTCACCTATTCTCTTACAGTATGAACACATTTTTAATGAGCTTATTCCAGTTTTACATTATAGAGGAACATGAAATATTAAGTAGAAGGAAAAGAATACACTCATTTAAAGACAAATAAAAATTTTAAGAGTGAGTTGTGAAATTGTGTCCAATGCCCTTTAATTTTATGCCCCCAAATTATTATAAAAGTAATAAAAAAAATCACTATGTTAGGAAGTGATGTCCACCTTTATGTTATTTAATATCAGTATAAATTCAGCTTTTATGTGAAGAATTCAGAGATTGTTTTAGAGAACATTAGTAAACAACAACATCATGCTGGTGAAGGAATACAGCAGACATGACATGGATAATATTGTGGTGAAGTTTAAAGCAGAATCAGGTTAGAAAACAATAACCCAAACCTTAAACTTCAACAGCACTATTCAATTTCTCATCTAGAGAATAGAAAAGGTATTTTACAAATGCAAATCTGCCAAGATATGACAGTCCATCTGACAAGTCAGGTAAAGATTAATTGAATCAATTACTCTTGGAGGAGATGCTGAAATCCTTAGCTCAGGTGGAAAAATCCATTAACAGTACAACTGCACTGCACTCAACAAATCTGGCCTATAAGCAGAAGTAATAATAGCCATAAATATCCCATTTTCAGTTTGCCACAAAACCACCCAAGGCACAGTAAGCATCTAGAGGAAAGTCAAATCATGTGACGTTTTTTTTTTTTTCACTTCATGATTATGCCGCATTGAATCCCAATAAAATGCTCTAAGATTACTTTTAGCCTACAAGTATGACAGAAAACAATGCAGATTACTCTAAATACTGTACACCAATGCTGAAACAGAGGCTTACCTTTTACCAGTAGGACAGCAACCTTAAACGAACAACCAGAGCAACCGTGAAACAGCTTATTTCAGACTCTTGGGGAACTAAGCACAAGGGTGCATTTGCTGGAGTATTGCATGGCATCCAAATAGATTACATGTTGGGATTCTACCAGGACAAAATGTGGGAAAATTCAAGGGCTATAAATGCTTTATTAACATTATATGGTTTATTGAGCAACCTCTGTTTGCCAACTATTTGTATTAATTTCAGGATTAATTATTGAGCAAGCACCTTCGTTGTGTATTGTTTAACCTGATTAGATTTTTTTTTTTAATTTCCCAACAGCATACAAAGAGAAGATGAAGGAGTTGTCCGTCCTCTCCCTCATCTGTTCCTGCTTCTACCCAGAGACTCGCAACAAGCTCATTTGTGAGTTTGAAGGTATGAAGGATCTGAAAAATTGATTTTCTTTACAACCAAACAAATGGTCCCTAATGGATGTTTTCTCTTCCCTGGAAGAAGAGGCATTAGTAATTAATCAACTGGTATGTTAATGGATTTCTTTAGCACTCTCATTGTATTTGTCTGATTTACAGACATGGAGGTTAAACCTATAGACAAACGGGCCTCAGGGCAAGCCTTTGAGGTAATTCTCAAGCCCCAGTCTCCGGTGTCAGACATTGCCCACAACCTTCCCTCTCCTCCAAAGAGGGATCTCTCCCTGGAGGAGATTGAGAAGAAACTGGAGGCAGCTGAAGAGCGAAGAAAGGTATTTTCTTTCTGACCATCACCTTTGGGTTCTAAATAGCAGAGGCTTTTCAAAATGAATAACATGATGTGTTTTTTCTTAGTACCAAGAGTCTCAGGTGCTGAAGGCTTTGGCAGAAAAGCGGGAGCATGAAAGGGACGTGTTGCTAAAGGCCATGGAGGAGAACAGCAACTTTAGCAAGATGGCCGAGGAAAAGCTCCAGATGAAGATGGAGCAGATTAAGGAGAATCGCGAGGCCCAGCTGGCAGCCATGATGGAGCGCCTACAGGAGAAGGTCAGAGTGGCAAAAACTCAGGCATTTATCAGTGGGAATCAGTGTTGCAGTCTGGGTTTTAGAATTTTCAAACTAATCATTGTCTCTATGTGTGTCCCTGTGTTCAGGAGAAGCATGCCGCGGCTGTGCGCAGGAACAAAGAGCTGCTGAGGGAAGAGCAGCTAGCATGAGCTTCACACAATTCCTGTGGTCCGTCTGTCGAACCATCCATCCATCCATCCATCCATCCCTGCCCTCAACCTCTCCAAAACAGACACTCTGCCGTGAAGGCTGAGAGGCTCAAGAAACTCACCACCACAGCACTGCACACCTTGTCACAACTATCCACAACCCTTATTATCAGTGATACAGACATCTATGAATCTCCTTTTACAACTGAATAGATTTGTTGATTTAGCGAAAGTGCAACCATATGACTTTTATTTTGTAAATACTCTATCTATCTATCTATCTATCTATCTATCTATCTATCTATCTATCTATCTATCTATCTATCTATCTATCTATCTATCTATCTATCTATCTATCTAGATACTAGATAGAAATTAGATATATAGCGGGTTAGCTATCTGTTTAGCTAGCTAGCCAGATAGCGCTCTCTCTCTCTCTCTCTCTGTGTGTCTAGCTGTCTTGCTAGCTAGCTAGATAAATAGACCGAAAGCTAGTTAGCTAAATTTCTTGATAGCCAACATGTTATCAAGCTAGCTAGTTAGATAAATAGATAGAAAGCTACTTATCAATCTTTCTTGATAGCCAACATTTTATTTATTTATCTAGCTAGCTAGCTCTCTATCTTTTTGTTTGTGACTGTTTATGTTCTTCAAGTTTTACGCCACAACTCTAATCATATGAAAGGCCTCAGTGTTGGGAGTTGGCAGAAGATGGAGGATTTTCAGTGTTTTCTGATGATGTCATGACAATGACGACGATGATGTTGATAAAATATTTGTATGTTTCGTGAAGAGTGACAGTCGATATGTACGCTGCAAATCTGGTTTGGGTGCATCTGTTATCTCCCCCATGCCGCCTACTCATGCTCGACACCCATAGATTCAGACCACTTCCTCTGAGATGAATTGTATTGTTGTTAGGAATGTATTTGCCTAAAGGGAGTAACTGTACATCTGCATATTCACACCTTTTTTCAACCAGTCATTTGCCAAATAAATAGCTCTCCTAGGATCTCTGGAGATGAGTCTCACAAAATGAATGAATGTTATGAGACCAAACTGGTGTCATACACAGTGTCTTGGACAGTGGAATGTGCTGTTGCTCCCATCTTGATGTTTGATAGTGTGAACCTAAAGTATGTCTGTGTGGGCGACTAGGCATCATTAGCATCTTTTCTCCATAGAGGTTTAGGTAGATAATGGATGCAAGAAGCTTTACATACAGCACACTGAAGTAGTCTCTTTTTAACCTTCAGAATACCACTGATATCTGCCTGCGTAGTCTGCTGCTTGTGTTTTTTTCCTCTTCATATTTTTCTCTGTGAAAGCTTTGCTGAATAAAGGTTTGGGAGTTCTGTGAACATGGCATGCACCATCTATTACGTTTCTGTAATAAAACACAAGGGGAATTGTAAACTGCCAAATAAAAGAACCAGTTATCTACACACCTTGAGAACTGCAGTCTGCAAAAAAACATTTTTCCATTTCATTTCATTCAGTCTAAGTAATACATTTCCAGTAGACCATATGAATGTTTTCAATGGTAAGAAACCAATATAGCTGTACATCATGCTTGGAATTTGCGTTTTCTATTTATAGAAACCAAATTTTTATTTCTAAATGTTTTACAAGCAAACACACTGATAAACTCTATTAATCTGATTGGTTTTACGATTGGCCAAAAACAATTCAAAATCGATCTGAATGGTGAGTTCCTAACACTCCTAATGAACACATTTCATCACAAACATAAAGAAGCAACAATGATTGTTGATTGCAAATTAATTATAAGAAAAAGTTTACATTGTCTTTATAGTACAGAAAAATAATCAATGAAAGATAAAGACATACTTGTTTTTTAAATGTTTAATAATAATAATAATAATAATAATAATAGGTTGACCTGAAACCATTGAACTAGCCCTGGCTTGCACAACTTTTTCATGTTTCCACAAAAAGTGTCACCTGTTCAAAATCCATTAGTGTAAGAGTGATCTTCTACCAACAGGTGGCAGCATCCGACTTTAGCCTCAATTTGCAAAGCAGATCACTGTTTTATTTAAAAAAGAAGGAAACAAATAAACACCTAGGCTTTCGTCGTGACCTTGTTTTCAACCTACAGATTTGCTTATCAGAAGATGGTAAATTAAGTGACGTTGATATATTTTAGATGAGTGTGTGGCTTTAGTCTACAGACAACAAATTAAGAACACATTTTACCCCTTGGGTGCTCTAGAAGGATAAAACTGCCTCACTAAAAGAATGAACCTCTAAAAATCTCAATTTATAGAAACCAAACAAGAAACAACCCATTTGAGTCAAGATGTGATTTATGAGACCATCTGCTTCTTCGTTGGTGATACTTAATAACTCTTTCTCCACCAATGTCCCCATCCTGTTCACACTATTGTCTCCGTTCCAGACCAGCCCAGGCTGGTGAGGTCAGGGTAACATTGTAAAGGATTTCCTCTGGCTCTTAATGATTTCCTGGGTATTCATAAGGGCAACAATGCTTTTGGATTCTGTTACTCAAACCTGGCACATGGCAAAGGACCTGCTTTCCAGTTAATAACCTGGATCTTATTAACTTTTAATGAACTTCCATGGTGCTGCTGCCATAATACACCTGCAGCACAAATATTGATTAGGGAAGAAGCTTATAATTAGATTTCTCAAAGCAATAAGTTTATTCAAAAATGTTGAGGATTAAACAAAACAGAAAAATGCCAGAAATGTGTTTTGGACCCACTTTATTTGTAAAAGAAAAAAAAAAAGTGTAACCGATACATAAACAATCATTTTTAAGTTTCAAGACACGTGTTTTCTAAATGCAGTCCGTTCAACATTAAATTTATGTTTTTGCACATAGCTGCAATATTGCTAAATAAAACAGAACAAATTAAAGAAATTTAAAATGTAGACATCTGTAGTCAACTGGGCCAGACTAACTGGGGCAGTGACTTAAGTTGTTGTTCACCTCAAACTTTTATCTTTCAGTGAATGGAGGTCTGGTAAACACATGTTTTGCAGGCATTCAAAGGAAAATTATAAGCCAAGATTTTCATGTTAAACACCACTATACAACTATTTGTAAATAATGATGTCAGAGGCCCATTTTTAATCTAGCTAACCCCAAACTCTTCAGGTGCAACAGCAGCAAACCTTAAGCACGTCTCCTAGGCCTCCTTTGTTTTTGGTGTATTTCAGAGAGACTTGGTTAAAAAGCCACAGAGAGGACTGGCATATAGATATAATGTTTTTGTCTCACTGTTACCAATAGATGGCAAAGTTATTATTTGTTTAAAAGAAACTTTCGTTTCTTTTTATTTAGTGGTTTGGACAAACCGTTTTCGTGACATTTACTTATAACTTGCATAGGTAAAAGCAAATTGAGTGGGCACCAAAACTCTAGCCCAGGGGCCCATATCCTCCTGTGTCCAACCTTGGTGGTCGCCAGTTTGCAGTTTTTTAATTGTATCTGTACAATTCTTCTACAATCAATCTATCATGGCTCATTCATCTTTTTACATCAGTCCTCAACCTGGAGGCGAAAAGACTACCTAAATTAAGCCTTTTAATAACACATCACCTTTTAAGTAAATAAAATTCTAAAAGGGCATTACGTCCACCTGCAACTTCCCAAACTTATTTCTAAGCAAAATAAAATGATTTTGATTTATTTTTCTTTAGTTTATTGCTATATGAACGGTTGAAGCAGGATTTGTCGGTGATGGTGGGCACAGCTCAGCTGTTGCCTTGAGTCCAGTGCTCAGCGTCAGAATGCCCCAATCTCCATGCCCCACGGCCTGTAAGGCTTCGACATGGTGGAGGTGGGACTCACTGTACCGATGGCCGTCGGGGAGATGAGAGGAAAGGCCCCAAAGGAGAGGGGGAAGGCCGAAAGCGAGGAGAGAGACGAGACGAGAGGTGGGGACAACTTAGATGTCGGCACAGGTAGACTGAGGGCTAAGGAGCCGTTGGGAGGCACCCTGAGAGACTCCGTGGGGGACAGCATGCTGAGTCTGGACGCTCCAGAAGCCTCACCGGATGAGGAGGATGAGGAAGAAGAAGAGGAGCAGGAAGAGGGTGGACTGCTGTTTGTTCTGGGCGCAGGTGTCCTGCCCTGAGGGTGCTGCAGAAGAAGATGGTGGGGGAGAGGGGACGGGGCTGTTCCATACGCCGAGCCCCAAGCAAAGTGCTCCAGTCCAGTGTGAACCTCCCTCTGGGAGGCGTAGTTGCTGAGGTGGGACACCAAGCGGACCCGCAGGGAGTCTGTGCTGTCCCGGCCCTCGATGATGCTCAGGTAACGGGCCGTCTCTGCCAGACACTCCCTGAAGCCCAGACTGCGGTAATCCTTAGCAAGAGCATGAGCCTCAAAGTAACCTGTGAGGCAAGACAACAGGACCCTGTCAGGTAAGACAACAGGAATGTCCAACCTACAGCAGAAAGTTCTGGCTTGCATTATGACGTCTGAGGGTTATTCACCTTTTCCTCCAGATGCATGAAGCATCTTCAGGTGGTCCACTGTCATCTGCAGAATTTCTGCTTTTTCCAATTTAGCTGATCCCTGAAAAGCAGGAAGATGAATATTGTGACTTTACACAAATTTCAACTGAATTTGGCTATAATCTGCATAAAAAAAAAAAAAAGCAAAACCAAATGTGTGGGTTCAGGATTGTAATGAGGAGAAGAGTAATTCACCTGCTTCTCAAAAGCACTTGGTACCAGTCTTCTCAGCTCTGACAGGCTATTATTGATCCGGTCACGTCTTCTTTTCTCTATTATCTATTTGTAAACATTTCAATATAAAGACATATCAACATTCCCTCAGAAAATAGGTTGAAAAATATCAATATATAAAATGAATTAAAATGGATACAATAATAATTGTGAATAGAGGAAGGGGGAAAAAAAGAACTGAGGTTTAAAAAAGTCAGTGCTAGATGTTTGCATACCCCTCTGCGCCTTTTTCTTGCTTGAACTTGTGTAGTGGTGGTGGAGGGTGACATCGATCCTGGAGAATCAGCTTGACTGAAAGGAAAATATGTCTCAATTTTTTTTTTTTTTTAAATCATCGTAAAACATGACATGACTTGTAGGCACAATATATCTTTAATCTAAAAAGGATATAAAATATAATATATACAATCTAAATTCTAAGATATAACATATAATCTATCATGTATAGTTATTGTGAAAAAAAAAAAATAAAACCCTACCCATTTTCGTCGCCACTGTCCTTCTCCACCTCCACATTGTCATCCAGCTCGCTGTCTGATGAGCTGTAGTTGAGGCTTCGCTTCATTCTGATGTCCAGGCTCACACGGATGAAGGCGCGTTTAGTTTCACAGAGAGCTGCAGCCGCACAGGGTCCGAGCAACAGTTTGAACATCAGATCTGCTTCTGCTGGGGTGACTTTCACACCGCGGGAAGGGGGCGGGGCCTAAAGATTGAGGTGGGAGTGGTCCGAACTGGACTCGTTAGCGAGCTCGAACTAAAGCTGACACCAAAATGACGTGTTCGTTTAAGAAATAAACGCTATATGTATGACTGGAAAGGTTTGAAGAGAGTAGCATTTGTTCTTTATTTTCTGTTAGTAGCTAACAGATGAGCCTCA